TATTACACTGTATTTGTAAAATGTTTGAAACCCCAACCTTTATAAAAGTAAATAAACAGCCTCTCAGCTGGAAACATAGGTTTTCTTGAGGGGGCTCAAAATGTCACATCTGTAGGTTGGAATTCAGGTTGATTTTCGTTTTGTAGTAATTTTGATTGACAGTCAACTTTCTTGGAATGTTTTGTTATTGTTGTGTATAGTCAGTAAACTCCATTGGTTTGTAATATTACCTGGGAACAATGAAGATGAATTGAAAATCTGAATTTCATATTGTTGGGACCACAGAATAAAGATATGAAGATTATCGCATTTATAGAAAGAGTAAGTGAATTACGCAGTGAGAGAGGAATGTACTGCGTACAAGAGAGAAAGGCAAAATATGATGTTACAGCATTTACAACTAATTAAGGGACCGGTGATAAAGTACAGGGGGGGTGGGCTATGAAAAATTGGGGGTAGGTCACTATTCTTTAACATGTTAAAAAGGGTGGGTCAGGAAAAATAATGCACTGCAGTAGGGGTGGGTCATGTTAAATTATTCACATATCACTACAAACGTTAGTAAAATCTTTTTTTAACAATAAATCTAATTTTCCACAATAATCCAACTTTATATGACAACAGGAATTCACCTATTAAATATATTATTTCTATTTATGTACAGTCTTTAAATCTGAAGAGTAGTCATGCGGGAAACCTTTTATAGTATAAAATCTAGAACAAAGCTTTACTGTTTTCAATAGCGGCCACTGTAAATTTACCTTTACTTATTAACAGTTTTAACCACCTACCATCTCTCTTTGTTAAGCTGTTAAGGCCTATCACACGACAATGATCTGAGGTTATAACTTCACCATAAGATGATGAGTGACTGATTGTGGAGAACACTCTCTCACAATTTTTCTCTGCTCTTTCACAGCGTCGCTTCCTAGCTTATGCTTTATTTTCTTTCACTCTTCTCTTTTTTGAGACAAATGTTTCTTTTGCAAAAGGATACATTCTCTTGTGTTTTTCTTTTTGGGCCTCTACCCTCATCAAAGTCTGGTCAATGTTACTTTGCAATTCTGCAATCATTCCCAAGCATTTTTCATTGAAGGGTTGCCCACACTCTTGCCCACTGATGATTTTCCCAGACTTTTTAGCGAACTGCTGGGCATTCTCTTTCAGGATACTACTCTTCAGCTTCTCAGATTTCTCTTTCAAATCCTGAAGTTTTTTAATCTTGTGATTAATTGCTTGGCGGTCAGTAGGCTTTAAGGGCTCCTCTCCTGAATCACATTCTGGGATTGCTGCTTGCAATGAATTAGCTTACAGCTGGCAAGTGGTAAGCCAATGTTCCCTAATGTACCTATCCACATCAGCATTACTGGTTTTGGTTGGGGGGTGGGTCACCCCCCCGCTGTACTTTATGACCGGTCCCTAAGCCTAAAAAAGCTTTACAAATTTGACTACTAATTGCAAAATTGCAAAATAAAACATGATACAACAAAAACATAAAGAGCCTGTCCTACTAACTAAAAGATGCTTTGCATTTGCATTTGTTTCTGCATCACTTTTAACTTTTGGAACTTTTGGATTTATTTAATATCAGCGAATTTATTTGTCCGAAGGGCAAAGTTTATGAGGGCTCCATTTTTTTTTAAGGAAGATATAATGTTATTGTTAGAGGCAATCTCTTATTCAATTTCCATGGAGTTCATAACAGTTTGTATATAAACCTGTAGCGCAGGGTTGCAGTTACCGGTATTTAACTTACATGTGTAAATATACCATTTGGCGATAAGGAAACGGTGATGTAGTGATAAATTGGAAATATTATCAATTAGTCCAAGACAGATAAGAGGAGAGAAGGCAATTGGTTTGTTTAAGGTAGTGTTTTGAGTTATCTATTGATAAATTTCTTTCCAGAAGTTTTGAGTGTACTTGCAATACCAGAACAAGCTGGCCAGGGTTTCAGTAAATTCTCCGCAGAAAGAACAGCACTCTGCTTGTTTTAGGCCAATTTTAAAGAGGAAGACGTTTGTTGCTATTCGTCTGTGAAGGAGCATGAATTGGCACAATCGTAACTTTGTTTCTGTTGTACACAGGAAAGGGAGGCATTTATGTATTCTCCCAGTTCAAGATCGCATTTTCCTTAGGTAGCCATTTCTCCTGGCTTTTAAGAGGGGTGGCCTTTTTTTTATAATTGATTTGTAAACAGTTTTACAGGCTCTTTCTGAGGCTAATAGTGTTTGCCCAAAGGTCTCCATTTGCATTTTAGTAAACAGGTTAAATGGCGAAAACTAGATGAACGTACCTCAAAGCAGGACTTAAAGTAAACTTTAAAGCTTTCTTTTCTCAACTGAGATGGCAACTGAGTATTCTTTAGAACTTTTTGTTTCCATGAACAAAAAGAAAAAAATGCTTAGAAGCTTAAGCATGTGTATTTGAGCTTGATTATAGGCCAGCGACCATACATCGTGTCTCAGTCAAATCTGGAAAACATGTGCCGCAACTGAGTATTCTTTAGAACTTTTTGTTTCCATGAACAACAAGAAAAAAATGTTTAGAAGCTTAAACATAGGTAATTGAACTTGATTATAGGCCAGAGACCATACATCGCGTCTCAGTCAAATCTGGAAAATATGCGCCGTAAGTGACAGGAAATAATAATATCCGAAATTGTAAAGAAATCAAACCAGAAAGAAATATCAACACTATATATATAAGCTTAATCAACCTCATGTGAGGAAAAGGTCCTGAAACGCAGTAAATTTGGTCATAAGTAAAGCCTGCCATGCTTGAGCTTTAAAAAAATGCTTCCAAAATAACTGTATGGAGCTTAAGTTATGAATCCGCCCATTTATGCAACACTTTCCTCAACCAAAAATAAGACAAACAAACCATCAAACCAACTGTGAACAAAGAAAGAATCTTGATGGCGGCTCTATTTCTTGTTGTGGCAGCTTTGAAAGGACACAAAAAACTTAAAACTTTTTATTACACGACGGTAAACAAACCTGAAGATTCTGCATAAGTTTTTACTCATGAATTCACCTGTCAAAACTTTGACCAATCTACACAAGATTTTAACGCTTGGAAAATGTGACTAAAAACATGATTAAGGTTAAAGCACACATCCTAAAAAATATATTGTTCAAAGTTTTTTTGTCATCAATCAAGCAAACAAAATTCAAGATCTACACTAGAAAACTTCATTGGCTGCCTCTAGGTGAACTTCAACAACCTTTCTTTTTTGCCAAGACAAAGGCAGGCTGCATGTCTTGGATTCCCCATCTCCCTTACAGAGTCTACTAAGTACCACCCCCAGAATCTACTTAGTACCACCCCAAAGAGTGTACAGGTGTACAGGCATACGGTCATGTGACTGCCAAATTTTCTTGGATGGATAGGTTACCAAATTGTCTTAGCTATGGGGCTACGGTTGCATGCGCTTCATGCATTCGTGGAGCTCTGCTATAAGTTCACTTGTGAAATTTCAAAGTTGCCATGGCAACGTTTGGTCGATACCGCAGTCAGTACGTGACTGACACTCAACCAAGATGTGACCAGCACTCAACTGACATATGGATCGATATGTTGGCCAACACTCAGTTGATATGTTGACCGATAGTTCGTACTTAATAACCACCTGGTTAGCTCAGTTGGGAGAGCACCAGTCTGCTGAGTGGAGGTCGGTCACGGATTCAAACCTTGGCTGAACCAACACTCAGGCTCTTTAAATAACTGAGAAAACACTGCTTAGCCTGAAATTCTTCCGATTGCTTCGAGTCGTTTTCTCCTCTCAACAACGTCTGAATCGACCGGCCGTTAATGCCGTCCAGTGACGTCACTCACTACCCGAAAACCTGGTAGTGATTTTGATTGGTTGATTTTCTGAACATTCGCATAATTATGTATAATTATGAAAAATTTTAGCGGGATTGTCGCTCAGTGGATCGCATCCTTGGCATTCTTTCGTTTCGTTAAAACATTTTGATAAGCTTAATCTTATCTTAAACAGCAAAATTGCCCTTGTCTTCGAAACTGAAATGCTAAGTTGAACTGCGAATGAAGAATCATTGCGGAGAGTCGGTAGGTTTTTCATTTAGAACCGCTTTGTGGTTTCGGCGGCCGGTGATTTTGTTTACGCAAAGTTTTCTGAGATCAATGTTATAATTCGACCTTCTTGCTATTTTTACCGTCAAGTGTAATGATTCTGTTAGCTTTTCTTTCTTGTCTCCTTGTTTTTTTTTCTTCGTTAAGGACCAAATAGCTTATTTTCAATTAGAGCAAATCATTGTGTTTTGGAACTAAGCGTTCCGTGTGTGTTTATTTATTGCGTGATTGCGACTGAGTTTGATTATAGAATTTAGCACAACCGGTTGTACTGCATGCACTTGATAGTTTGAACGTTAAACATGAATTACAATTAAAAAAAATAAAGCAGTTCTGTTTCATGGAGATATTTCCAAACGATATTTCTCAGTTTGACACTTGAAAATCGTGTTTTACTTTTTGCATGAATTAAAGCAAAGGTCAAGGAGTAGTGACGTCACTGGACGGCATTAACGGCCGGTCGATTCAGACGTTACTGAGGGAGTAATAATGACTCGAAGTAATCGGATGAAATTCAGGCTAAACACTGCTGCCTTTGTAATGACATCTGCAAACGTATAGACTTTCTAGTCTTCTCAGATAAGGATGAAAAACCATAGGTCCCGTCTCACAGCACTTTCACGTATCTGGTTCTTGTGGGATTTAAAAGGACCCACGTCCACTGTTTGAAAAGAGTTGGGGATGTAGACCATGGAGGTGTGGCCAAACTTCCTTGGGCTTGGTGGGTTATCTGTAAGGAGAGATCTTATGAATTCTCCTCCAGGTCTGGAATTGGCTACCTGTAAACGATGTGACTAGAACAGATGTATGTAAAAATCCCAAACAATCAAGCTATATTCTTGGCCCAGCTCTTACTGTGATTTGCAGAACTTAATTTCACCATGTGTATCTTGATTTTATTTTCAGTTGATGGATGACCAGGATGATATTCAGTCAATAACATCTCTTGAGTAGATAATTTTTCATTTTTTTATATCTCAGCAAGTCCAAATATTCATGGTAAGTTGTTGTACATTAATCATCATAGACCTAAGGGACAGCTTATTGAGACGATGGCCTTAGCCCCTTGGCAATACAACTGTACTCTACCAAGCCAGTTCTATGCATTTGAATTCCCAGCTTCTGCATTTTTTCTAGTCAATAGACAAAGAGGAACTTTTTGGGAAGTTTCTGAAACAATTTTTAACTGTCGAAGTAGAAGAATTAGATACTTTTCAAGAAATTTAGGTGTTTAATGACACCAGTTAATTAGCTTATATCAATCCATGTCCACCTTTTACACTCAGTTTTATTTTACTTTCTTTGATCCTTGTGACTAGAGAAACTGAGAGGTTTATCAAAGAGCAGAATTGTATTTTTAACAAAAATAAGATTGCCAACTGAAGGATTATTAGAAATGCTTTGATTTTCAAACATTAAATTCCCCTCATCAATACCGTTGTAAAATATTTTGTGGAAAAGAAAGTAAGTTTTTTTACGTTGATATTAGGGCTTTAAAAGGTTTTAGTAGTCCACTTTCAAGTTCGCTATGACTGCTGAATTAAAGAACTGAAGACGCCTTTTTTACAGCCTTAGCCTCCATCTGAAGTAATATATTCACAAATTCCAACAAGAAAAAGACCTGTTTATTACTCTGTCTATTGTGTATATTTAAATTTCAAACACTTACTTGCCGGAATTTCTGAATATGTTACTTTACATCGAGGCTAACACTACATGAATGTGTCGTTAATGTTTGTATTCAGCGGTAATTTTTAATTCGAAACTTGACTATTTGTTATCTTTTAAATATCTTTTAATTTTACCCACTATTATTTATACAGATGATGGTCTCCGATGAAGAGAAAAGATGGATTGTTGTGGGAATTGCCATGAACAAAGTTGCTGCTCCTGTTTTGCGAGATGCTGTCAAACAAGGAATGGACGCCAACTATGCAAATCTGGACAGACACTGTCAACTTCTCCACCCACCTTGTACTCTAAAGACATTAACTCATGGTGTGGTCCGAGCAGATCCTATCTTGAAGAACCTGAAATTTCAAAATATAAACAACAATCATCTTGTTCATGGTGTATGCAACTACAACTTCAACATCAATAGCTCTTTAGATTTGGCCAAGTTATACCTGCCAGGTTATCTGGCTCAGTTTTCAGCCTTTGATGACTCACTGGACATGACTGCCATCCTTCGTCTGTTGGGATTTAGGAACTTCATGCCTGCCGCTGTGTTCTCCCCACACTCCCAGGCCTCGGCCGATGATGTCAGGGAAAATGTCAGAAACAAATGGGGTCATGTTGATGTAACTGAGTGGACAGATGCCCTGTTCAATGATTGCTTTGACAAGCTGAAGACATTGGTGAGGAGTCTGGGACTGACAGCAGGTGTGGAGAAGAACACAACGGATCAACTGGATGACTGGCAAACAAAAGGTTATTATACCTAGACAATAGAATATTATAATTAATCATAAATGTTACCATGTTCAAAGGGAACAAACTCTAAACAATTTTTGCTCCAGAAAATATCCAACTGTCATGACAGTCAATCAATAGGATGCTTTAGATGGGCGCTTAATTCCACAGTTTTGACTTTGGTTCCATTAAATCCTGTATCAATATTTATTAAATGCACACTGTATGAATGGCTCACACTGAGCACAAAACATATTCCTAAGAAAAATAATAGACTGCAACCAGTGTATTTGACCTGGACACAAACTTGGTGAACACGTCAGCTAAGCAAGTGCAACCTCATTCCCAGGGTTCTCTCCTACCGATCCCTACAGAGAGAGAACCTGGGAACGAGGTTAAAGCAAGCAAAGGTTCTGCACATTAAATTATATTAACCAGCAGACAACATAAAGCACATATAATCTAAAGACCTAATGACAGCGATAGACATATAGTCTGTATCAGGCTCTCAGTTAGTCAGAACAAGTGAAAAGTAAAGGAAGCATGAGAAAAACAAGCCGTTTTTTCTTTGTTTACACTCATTTTTGCCTCCGCTCGTACCCTCTCAGTTATCAACCAACTGAGAGCCTTTAAAATGGTAATTTAGATATAAAGACGTGAAAATAATTTGTAAACAAGCTTCAGCAATTTCTTCTGTGACAGTCAATAACAGCACACCACAGAAGTTAAATTAAAATGTTATGTATTTCATGACATTGCTGTAGCTAGACTTGCAGAACAGATGAGACAAGTGTTGCAAATATTAGAAGCAAGAACAACTGGTTGGGTCTGATGCATGGTAGGCCTTCACAGGGGAAAACCGTAAACCCAGAACTTACTTCTTCTTGCCTATTAGCTACATTAGCTAAAACCATGCAAGAACTGCCACTGATAAAACTACGCATTCCTTACAGCTAGTCCTGTTGGGGTTTAATGAACAGTGTCCTGAACTCGCCGGTATTTATAGGTGGAGGGTCTACAGCAGGTCAAATAAGACAAATAAAGTGAAGTTAGCGTTTATTTTTGAGTATGTCATTCAAAAAACAATTTAGTTTCAGACCATATTGAGGTATTCAAAGAGTGTTTTACTGTGAGCAGGGTTCAAAATAAGTTGACTGAGTCAGGTTAAGGATTTTTGGTTAATTGTTTAGTTGTTACTCAAAGTAAAACCTTCATTCTGTTTTATTTCAGGCTGTCAATTAGTCATGGGTCATGCTGTGGACAGGGATCTTCTCTGTTTGGTACAAGATGAAGTGAAAGATCTCATCAAGGGCTACAACACCATTGATTCACAACTGAATCTTCACAACAAAGAAATTGCTCAACTTCAAGTAAATGTTGCCACACTTAATTAAGATCAGGATGAACGTAGAGAAACGAGGTTAGTTGAGCATCATAAACGCCTTGAAGCGCTGGAAGAGAAGCTACTTGTACAGGAGGCAGCAGAGAAAAGAAGTGAAGAGATTAAAAAGGTTGTAGAAAGACTTGTGTCTTTCGAAGCACAGTTATCGATACGACTTCAGTTGGTAGAAGAAAAAATAGCGCAACTAGAGCAAACTCTAACGAAGACAGATGACAGAGTACAACAACTGGAACAAAGACAAACCAACGCAGTTTGGCAAGTGGAACTGCTGAAGCACATTCAGACTGAGACCGCTGCAAAAGCAGATCAGCTCGATCAACGATGTGCTGAGGTGGAGAGAATTGGACTACAATTGAAAACACAGAGGGACAAGCCAGGTAAGCTATGTTTGCGATTAAGAGATTAATTTTCCCCAGTCATTCATTAATATTGTAGTGAACACAAGGCAAAATGTTCTCTTTTTCTGACACTTTCAAGCGTGACATTATTTAAGGTATGAATCATTCACAGAGTTTCTTCACCGACGCAAACTTCCTGTTGCAGATGCGGTCATGTATGCACGATAAAACGAAAATTGATCCGTGTGTTTCACCGCGAACAAACGTCAAACGTCTGGGGCGTTTTTTGTTTTCATGTAGAGGGATTTCATTTAGTGATCCTTTAAGTGGAAACGTGCGGGTGGGTGTTAAAAACTAATTCTTTTTTCACAGAATAACGAGCTTCTTTTCGTTGAAAACGTTTCAATTCCGAGTTAAAGGTTGATGACAAATGGCACCGACAAAAACAGCAGTTTCATTTTTCCAACGCGAAGGGGGAGTGGTCCTCATTTAGAGCAGGGAAAGTCATTTGTCATTGTCAACTGCTGTGTTCCCATCTTGGGGTATCTGTCTTCAAAGTTGTACACGGGGTGGGGAATTTGCCATTTATGAACTTATCATTTCCTCCCACTTTTATTAAGAAAAAACCATGGCATTCAAATGTGCATAAGCAGAGGCTTAAATAAAGACTTGGTATCTAAAAACGTTCTGTTCAATCAAAATGTTATCGCCTTTTACCGAAAGCTAGCCAGAAGAAAGTGCAGCACTCCTTCAGTATACCCCATTGTGAAGAAAAGTGTGTTGGGAAGCTTTGCCAAAAAAATTGCAGAAAAATTAGCTTTGTTAGCAAAGATTGCCGTTTTAAAATTTATTAAAAGCAAAGGGCATTTCCTCGTCATGTTAAAGTTTACATCGTCAAGACGTTCTTTTTCGAGGTAACTGATTTTTATCAAGCACTTTATTGTTATTTATCACTTTGGCAAGTGAAGTCAACACTGTTTCGACCACTTACACAGTGGGTGACAATTTGCGATTTTTAGCTTTTTTGTAGGAAGCATACCTTTTGCCTCGTTCCTTGGGTGTGGCATTTGGACACATTTTTGACCCCCATTCTGTAGTTTTTGTATTAATCTGCTGGCCTCACCGTGGGGCATTTGCAGCTTTCGAATTGCCTGATAAATGCTCGGGGCAATGGGCACGCTAGGAATTGACTGAGCCATTATTGTTCTAGTTTTGCACTAGGTATCGGCTTTGCCACGTGTTGGCCGGTCCTCATGCCTAAGAATAACCTGGTCAAATAGTCCTGGTTGATTATCACCCCCTTCCCTTACACATCTGAAAAGTATATGATTAATTTGTACTTTGTCCTGACCTTCAGGTGTACAGGCTAAGTTGAAGAGGGGCCCTTAGTTTCAAGTTGCTGTACCAATTTAAGCACTAATAAAAGCATTTGTCCAACAAAGTGGTTATGATTTTTTTCGACCACTTCAAGGAGAAATTATAGACCTATGCTGTCAGGGGTTAAAAATTCATTCTTCCCTTCTCGTCCTTTAAAGAAAACTTTCAAAAAGTTAAGGAAATCAACAGCGGATTCTCAATATAGTAATCTATAACCCGTGAAAGTGACAGCCTTGGTTTTGAAGTACTTTGTTTAGCTATCGCAAATTGCTCTCGTTTGATGGTGGTGAACCTGTGCAAAGTCACGGTGTGGTTATATTGTAAAGCCTGGTTTTCATTAGCGCATAAGCATAAGCATAAGGACATACGCACGCGCAGAATGGCATATTTGACTCAATTCTCGATTTGGGCCAGCCGCCTCCTCAACCCGATGATAAACAAGATGGCAGACGAGCCTTCCGCCATATTGCTTTTGATATGTTCACATGAGGTCTGGGACAAAGTGACCTATGATTGGTCTGCGGCCTTGTACTTCTGCTTGTGCTTTATATGTCGATCCCGTTCTCGCGAATCAAAGCTACGACATAAGCATAAGCACAAGTAGAACGAACATGTCCGTTTTTCTTGTGCTTATTCTTGCTTATGTCGCCGCCGGTGTTTTCGCTTGCTTACACATGTGCTTGTGCCTCAGGCATAGTATGCCTATGCTCATGCTTTCGCGCTAGTGAAAACCAGGCCCAATAGAAGGGTTGAAATATTTTGTTTTAATAAAAGTATAAAATGTGAAATGAAACGCAGCAGAGTCTTAAAGACTTGTTTAAATAGGGCTGCGGTTTTAAATGAACGGCTTCAAGTTCTAAATATGTTCGTTCTTCACATAATTAGTGGGTTTTATCATTCAGAGAAAGTCAATGTTAACAAAATAGTCGTTATCGTCAGATTTAAAGAAACCTTTTTCGTGCTATTTTATGTAAATAGGTATCTTGTCATTTTTTAATTCCCTTAAACGTGTTTAATGGTATAAGTTATACTGTCTAGTTTGCCTTTTGTTTCAGTCCCTAACCACGTATTGTCGTGCGTGCTTCTGACTACTCAGCTTAACTTTCGCAAATTTCTTACGTTTGACGGCGGTGAACCTGTGCACAGTCAAGGGGTGATTAAAGTCTAATAGACGGGTTGAAACATTTCGTTTTGATAAAAGTGTAAAATCCGAAACGCAGCAGAGTCCTTGCGACTTGTTTAAACAGGACTGCGGTTAGTTGAACGGCTTCAAGTTCTTGATATGTTCATTTTTAACATTGGGGTTTTATCATTCAGAGAAGGTGTGAAGTGAAAACTTAGTCGTTACCGTCAGATTTAAAGACAGGTTGTTCGGTTTTTTTTTGTGTGAATAATTATCTTTTCAGTTTTTTAATTCGTTTTAACGTGTTTTATAGTAGCTAAGCTGTTTGTTTTAGTCTTAACCACGGGTTGTCGGGCGTGCTACTGACTACTCACTGAATTTCTTTTCTCCTAGAAGCTTCATCTATGAAACCTTTTGACTTTAAATCCTGTCGAAGCAAACTAGAAGATCATTACCAAAAAACAGCAAGTGTGCCCACTTCTGTTTGGAGTAAAAAAGCCGTTGTTGACATTCACCAGATCTACACTCGACTGTCCTGGGTGAAAGAGGAACAAACCCCAGCTGGAACAACACATTCTGAACTGAAGCATTACACTGAACTGTTTACAGCAAACAAGAACGGCGTCATTCCAAAGAGAATACTTGTGCAAGGGCAGACGGGAATTGGAAAGAGCACGTTTGTTAAGAAGCTGCTTGTCGACTGGGTTGAAGTAAATAAGGGGACTGGTGATGAGCAAGCAGCTGTTCTGAAGAATTTTGAGCTTGTGGTTGCTGTAAATCTCAAAGAAGTGTCGAAATGTCAAAGCCTCGAAGATGTCATAACACTGTCCAATGTGTTTGCAAAGGAGGACAAATATATGACAGGAGGCCTTATGAATTATATTACTAACAACCAAGAGAAAGTACTTCTGATCTTCGACGGCTACGACGAATACCGCAGTGGATGCGATTCAGAAATATACGGGATTTTCCGTGGAAATAGCCTGAGAAGCTGCTGTGTCTTGATAACAAGTCGTATTTCCAAAGCTGACGAACTACGAGGAGGTGAAGACCTGCATGCTGAAATCACAGGGTTTAGCAAAGTGGACGGACAAAAGTTTATGCGGAGATTTCTCACGCACGATGAAGTGTTCTTATTGGAACGTGAAATCTATAAGAGAAAGTTGAATAAACTGGCAGAGGTCCCTTTACTCCTCCTGTTTTTTTGTTTACTATGGAGAAAAGGACAGTTCAAACACTTTCCAGAAACAAAAGCTAAATTGTATTTAGATATTATTCAGTTCATTTTAAATCACAGCTATAGCAAGCAATCACCACCTCAGTATGTGGAAGTAACATCTTTCAAAGAGATCCTCTCTGAAATAGGTAGAGTTGCTTTGCAAGCTCTTTTGAAGGATGATCATTTGTTTGAATACGGTCAGTTGTCTGATTCTGTCCGTTGTGATAAAGGCGTCCTCATCGGTTTGCTTCAAATCACCGAATACTCAGATACCTTACGACCAGTTGAAATGGTTTCCTTTATTCACAAGAGCATACAAGAGTTTCTGGCTGCATGGTACGTTACCTACAAATTTATACCTGAAGGTGGAAATCTCGGTGAAATTAGCCCGAAGTTGGAGGAGTGCTTGGCTTTAGAGAACGTTTTCCAGTTTATATGCGGCCTGAGTGAAGATGGAGGATTGACGGCTTTGAGGCATTTCAAGTCTGTCAGAATCTTAGATCCTTCGTTGGATTTATCCAAGGCAGTACCGGACTTAGAAAACGAGACAGGCAGGCCACTGAGTGATGTCACTGAGCGCCAGTGGAAGTTCAGCTGTTTGGTTTTTGATTCATTTGAACAGATTGAGTCAAAAGCAGGGCTTTCAAGAGCTTGTTTCGATTGCCTTGGGGAGATCCTTCTTTATTCTCCAATAAGATCTCTCCAAGAACACGTTTTCTTAAAAGCAAAGGAAACAAATTCCTGGTCTTTGGTCTTTGATAACAAATTCTGTCTCAACTCTTTTCCTGCAGCTGTCTCAACTCTGAATACGATGGTTAAAACATTGAGTGCTAGAAGTTCTAAAGTTCTCAAAGTTGCAGAATTTTTAGAAAAATTCCGAAATTGTTCCTGTAATGTACCTTGTACCTTTTCCTCAGTAAGTTGTTTTCACAATGGCCAGGTATACTTTAACATTACACACTTGAGACTGCTTTGCGAGGACCACTTCAGGGTATTTACTGAGTTTGTCGCCTCTCCCAATTCAGTACATTCAACTTCAGGGCCTTTATGTCTGAAATTTCTTAAAACTCTCGAGTGTTCCCCGTATGGAACCAGTTCAATGGAACCTCTTGGTGCGGCTATCAAAGATTGTAATCATTTGGAACTCATTCAAGTTTGCTTCAGTAATGACTCTTTGTGTCATTTCTTAGAGCAAGTACCGAATCCTAGTAGTTCCTCTTTGTCTATCGGGCTCTGTACCTTAACGTCACCAGGAGCAGCAAAGCTTGCATATTTGTTACCAAGGTTTGAAAACGTCACCCGTCTTGTCCTTCGCCTGGGTGAATGTTCTGATGAAGCAGTAACAAGTTTAGCTGCCGCTATCAAGCACAAGACTCTCGAGGAACTGAACCTGCACAAATTCAACCTGTCGTCAGCTGCAGCAGTAGCGCTCGTTCAGTCGCTACATGCATCACAGGCTTTACAAAAACTGAACATAGGTGGCTTTGCTGAATGCTCTGATGAAGCAGTAACAAGTTTGGTTGCCGCTATCAAGCACAAGACTCTCACGGAACTTAGCCTCGCAGAAATTAACCTGACTTCAGCAATTGGTGAGGCTCTCGGTCAGTCGCTGCGTAACTTATCAGCCTTGCAAACTCTGAACGTAAGTGTTTTGGGTGGCTGCAGTTTGGGATTAACGTTTCCACATTCCAGTCTAAAGTTACCAATGCTAACGATTAGTGGATTAGCTGAATGCTCTGCTGAAACAGTATCAAGACTGGTTTCCCTTATCAAACTTCAGACCCTCACGAAACTCACGCTAAGTAAATTCAACCTAACGTCTCCAGCGGCCGAGGCACTCGGTCAATTGCTGCCGGAATTATCAGCCGTAAAAGCACTAAATTTGATTGAATTTAATGAAAGCTCTGCTGAAGCAGTAACAAGTTTGATTTCCGCCATCAAGCACAAGACTATCAAGAAACTGGAGCTACTGGGAGTCAACTTGACGTCAGCAGCAGCTGAGGCCCTCAGTCACTCGCTGCCTAAATTTTCAAATTTACAAACACTAAGGATAAGTAACTCGAATCAATGCTTTGATGAGGCATTTGCTAAAGTGGTCCCCACTATAAAGCATAAGACTCTCAAGGAACTGACACTGATTGCACTCCACCTGACGTCAGCAGCAGCCGCGGGGCTCGGTCAGACGTTGCCTGAATTGTCAGCTTTAGAAAGACTGGAGTGCAGTGGCTTGACGCTTTGCTCTCCTGAAGCAGTAACAAGTTTTGTTGCCGCTATCAAGCAGAAGACTCTCAAGGAACTGATACTGAGTAAAATCAACCTGACGTCAGCAGTAGCTGAGGCGCTTGGTCAGTCGCTGCCCGAATTATTAGCCTTACAAACACTGGTGTTAAGCGGTTCATATGGATACAGTTTGCAACATACGGAAATGAAGGCAATGTTTGGCACGTTTAACAAACCATCTCTATTAAAAATTCTGAACATCTGTCGTTTCAGCGCGAGAGGAAGTCTTACTGCACTCACTGAAAACTTCTGCTTCTTTCCCCGCTTGAAACTGTTACATCTTGAAGATTTGGATTTGGATGAAGCTGACTTTATTGGTTTGCTCGAGAATTTGAAATTCATTCCTGATCTGTGTATTGTGACTCTTAATGGCAATCCACTGGGACACGCAGTAAGGTTAATGGTGCCATACTCGCCAAAAATGGAAAAACTTGAATATTTTGGGTTAAGACGAGGAGATTGTTCAGACGAAGACCTGAATTATGTTCGGGAAGCAGTCAAAGGAAAATTACCTCAGCTGAGGATTGTTGGATTGTCCTAAGCTGTTATATTTTCAATAGAACTGGAACAAATTCTTGCAAAACGTTTCAATTTTTAAATGCGAACATTGTTAATGAGTACTACAGATGTAGGTTATTATAATAGTACAGCAGCTATTAATGCAGTTACCTTCAGTTGCAAAACAACCTCGTCCCCAGGGCAAAGCCTTGCAGCTACGTGGAACTGAGGACCGGGTTGTTCAATGCTGGGTTAAGATAACCCAGGGTTAGTGCAAAATTTGAAGTCATATTTGAAAGTTTAAAAAGCAAATTAAGTGTAATTCTTTTTGTCCACAATATGATGATTGGATGATCTTAAAGAACAGAGAAAATTATCGGAGAAAATGCTTTCGAATAAAAGAAAAAAAACCCGGATTAAAATTTAACTTCAGGGAGGAACCTTTCTGTCATAGGTTTGTTTTTCGCCTTTTTTTTTTTTTTCGTTCTTTCTTTCTTTGTGTCATTGTTTTTCTCTTTCTCGCAGAGAGCTTTTACCGCTACTCTATAAATCCGAGTTTGAAATAAAAAGACATGAACGTATATTTTTATGTAAGACAACGGTTTCCTCTTTCTTTTTCTGAAATGCCCTTTAGATTGAAATTCCAGAAATATTCCCCAACATTTAACAAAGTGAACGAGGTGCAACAAGAGCGATGGAGCTATAAAAAAAAAAGCGGGAATTCACTTTTTCGAGCATCTTTTTGAGAGTCGATTTTAATGCGGTCGCCGTCGTGGTTGTCGAATACGTCCTACTAGTCTTAGAACACGCCGTCTTCCTCTTTTTATTTCGCAATCGTCACTATAAAAGCCTTTTTGATTCTTGAACTTAATTAAGTATTTTCAGACAAGAAAAGTGATGGGCTAGTAGACAAAAAGCGCTGGTCCGTATCATCCCGCAATTTTTCTTTTATCATGTACCATCCTTCCCACCACAAGTTCTCCCTGATGACTTGTGGATCCCTCTGCATTTGAAAAGTAATTCACCTAATCGATTCACGTACCCCTTTGTTCAAATGTTGTTTATTTAAAAAAAAATCGAACTCGTCCAACTTCCCAACACCAGTTTGTGCGTATGATACCTGATAACTCGCTGACCAAGGGTACACAGAAGCTAAGACCACCTGTCAGCAAATATGCGAGCAGTAGCAGAGGAGAGCAGATTATTTAGTTCTAAGTGCGTATAATCCATATTTAGGAATACCACGGGAAAATCGTATGGAAGATATAATAGATAAAATTATGACAATGTTGGTCCGTGGTTTTATTTCATTCATTATATCCGGTTACAGGCGTTCAGATAGCACGGTAAAAAGGTGGTACACTGACAGATCTGGGAGATGGGGGCCGGGGCTCTACCTTAATTTATGGCCAAACTGTAGCCTGTTCCAGGATCCGTTCCCATGTTCTGAACGCCTGGAACAGGCTAGGCCGAGTCGAGATCAAAATCACTACACGTGGCCAAATGACAAACCGCCCTCTCTAAAACGCTCCTTTTGGCGGGCCAAACGGCAAAGTGCGGGCTGTAAATTGGATTTTAAGCCCGCAACATAATTTCATGTTATGAAGTAAATTTGTACGATTTGGCGTTGTGTATTGACCTTAATGATAATCACATGACTTTTGTTTGTATCCCTTTTAGCATCATTTGCGCCCGAGCGGAGCGAGGGTTCAAATGATGCTACGAGGGATACAAATAAACTATGTGCCCAACAAAATTCGTGTGATTATCCTATTATAAGAGACTGGATGAGCGGGTGCCCCCATTTACTTGAAGATTTAAATTTGCCGCTGCTGTCTCTGTCTCGATTCCCTTTCTTTGTCCTCCCTCCCCTCCCCAACAACCCCCCGGCCCCCTTCCCCCATTATCTGAACGTCAAGAACAGGCAAATTAGTGTAAAAAGTAGCCTGCTTAGCAAGCGTTTCCGTGCGGTTTCGGAGCAAAGAACGAGGACCACATGGAGGAACGAGAGTCAAAGATTTCACGAAAAATGGCGCGAGTAAAAGAGCGAAGAGGGGCTCTTTCATTTTTCGGCTCTCGTTTTATTTCTCTCGCGGCCAAAAGTGCAAAACCGAAAATCCCGTATCGTCGGTCTTTCTTTGCTCCGACACCAAACGGAAACGCTTGCTATGCAGCCTATGTAAAAATCCCTGACGTGACGGTATTACTGAAACGTGAAATTTTTTCGCGTGGCCAACAACCCTTCCCACTCCACCCTAAAGAAAGTCTACCTTTTCTAGAAGGTTCCGAGGCATTGTCTTTCGCTTTCAACTTCCGGCTTTCGCTTCCCTTGCTGTAAAAGGGTTTGTGAGATTGCTTGAGTCCAAAGTAAGTCAGCTAGCTAAACTACCTGGGCAGTCAGCGTTAATTAGTGTTAAATAGAGGTGTCAATCCAAAGCTTCTCTTCTAATTTGGAAAATTTAAGATTGCTTTGCCCCTTGGATGCGAGAAAGAAGATCAACGCATGAACTGACGTCGACGTCTAGAAGGACAAAGGTAAGCAAATCCTTGTAATTTTTGCCCGTTGCTCCTCATAATATATACTTCTCCGTGTCAGCGATGCGTACAAAGGATATCTTTACTTTACAGGCGATTCAGTTTTTGTCGGGTTATTTTAAAAATTCCATCAGTCTAACAGTGAGCGGAGCCGAACGTCATATCGCCATATCAGAGAAAAAAAGGAAAAGTTACGTCGGCTCTTCAGCAGTTTATTAAACAGAAGAGAGATGAATTTACATTTGTCGAGGAAAAATAATATCAGCTGGTTGAATTTCTTGCACCTCAGTAGCATGTTCAACGTTATCTTTGTACACTGTAAATGAAACAAAAGTTCGATTCTTGGACTTGAAGAATAGACTATTTCACGGGTTATGACGCCATCTTGGCTGGTGGGCAAACACGGCTAAAATTACAGTAAATGTATGGGATTATGGCCTACTTGGAACCGCTCTAACGCCGCTACAAAAAAGCGGATTTCCACAGCAAAAATGTATTTTAAAAGACATTTGTACTGAGATTATCTTCATAGAGTATAAAGAAGAGATTCGGGTTATAACGACCTTAAACGAATTTTTAAGATTTCATACAAACCCTTCTAGTCAACAATATGCAAATTACCATGAAATTAGAAGCCACATGAGAAGATTTATAATTCGAATTTACGGATGTCGTACCTTCTTTTGATAGCCCTATTTTCTGTTGAATGAATAATATCAATAAATATATTTAAAGTAGTGGCAAATGTTGGAAATCTGCCTCTTTGTAGTGGCGTTATAGCGGTTCCAAGCACAGGCCGCCCACACAATCTGTTTGTGTAGCCGATTGTTATTTTATAGTAAATGTACTGGATTTACCGTTTGCTTCACCTATAGCGATATATCGCTAACTATGTATATAAATCAATGATAAATAAACGTTGGATTACCTTGCCTGTGGTGTATAGTCGTCCTTTTGCCTCAAAAGCGGTTTTTTGAGCGATTTTGAATGAATTTGAGTTCGCCGTTGACTGTTCCATATAATAGAAGGACAAGGGAGGAATCCTTGTTTTGAAAGGGTTCCAGTGCCGGAGCGATTTTTCCCCCCAAAATCGCATCTCTCCGCTTTCAAACTTCGCAGCATAAAGGTCAAAAGATTCACGATTCTTCTCGTACCTTCCAATCGAAAATCCATCCAAACGGCCCGGAGCTAGCCCTCGAAGAAAATCAAAATTCCACAGTATTGACCGATTGAATACGCAGCAAGATTCATACGTGCCAGCAGAAACCGTCCCGCTGATTGCTTCTTTTTGATTGATGTCGTTAAACAACAAACGCTACCAAGTCTTCTTCATCAGTTATTATTTAACCATTTGTTTAACGACATCCAAAAAAAAAGGCAATCAGCGGACGGTTTGTGGCTGGCACGTATGGATCTTGCTACGCATTCCAGTCGCTCGAATACTGTGGGATTTTGATTTTCTTCGAGGGCTAGCTCCGGGCCGTTTGGATGGCTTTTCGATTGGAAGGTACGAGAAGAATCGTGAATCTTTTGACCTTTATGCTGCGAAGTTTGAAAGCGGAGCGATGCGATTTGGGGGGGAAAAATCGCTCCGGCGCTGGAACCCTTTCAAAACAAGGATTCCTCCCTTGTCTTTATTCTATTATATGGAACAGTCAACGGCGAACTCAAATTCATTCAAAATTGCTCAAAAAACCGCTTTTGAGGCAAAAGGACGACTATACTCCACAGGTAAGGTAATTCAACGTTTATTTATCATTGATTTATATACATAGTTAGCGATATATCGCTATAGGTGAAGCAAACGGTAAATCCAGT